TAGCTACAAACATCAGGGTTGGATATGTTCCTATCCCATTCCCTGATATCATGGGCCAAACAGTTGAGGTGTCTAACCTTCTCACTGAATAGCGACCGCTTTACCTGTTCGGTCAGCGGTTCATCGAGACCCGCAAGGATGTGATCCCACTTCGCGATGAACCTTTCAAGTCGCTCCTCTTCAGTATAGAAAGATGATGTACTGCATCGTAAGTTTGAGAGCTCAATTATCCTGAACGATTGCTCCCCGATATTCGCAGTCCTTAAGTGGTCGTATAAGAGCCACAGGATCTGCCTACTCTTGATGCGATTGTTGGAGCGTTGAGCGGCTTCGGTGAGACGATTAATCTTATCGATGATCGCAACAGTCTTGATGCACTTCCGAATGGCTGCATTGAACCTGGCTTCGAGGATGTGGTACTTACATTCCCCATCCAGTTCATCAAAGGTCTTTGCCTTCTCGACTTCAGTCAGCCAATTGATGACGTAAAGTCCATCATAGCTGTAGGCATTGCTAACAGCTTCCTTCATATTGGCTATCCATACCCTCAGCCCAGCCGCGTCGGGCTCTGGCGGGAGGTCTATGGAAATGCACTTAGTCGCAGCTGTACAGTTCGGATCATGGTGGCTACCGTACCCGCCGCCACCAGTTCCGAAAAGATGCTGTGGAACCTGAGAACTACCGATTGACAATGCACATACAGGACAAAGGCGTGTAGCCTTCGGAATGCAAATCTCACATGCCCTTTTCATGCATATTTTACATTCCTCAATTTTGCTGGGGTCAGGAATATCCCGATCACACATCCGACATTTCTTGTCAGGAGGATCGGGGCCACGCATGGTCGGCGGCTCAAGGCCCGAAGGATCCTTCGGCCTTGTACCGTTGGGATCAAATCCTGGATAATATCCGGTTTCACGTTTATCCAGGGGCACGGATTGCGTAGCCTTCGGAGGACTCTGAAGGTTAGCCGCGTTGGGTTGACCTCCATTTGGGGTATCACGGAATCTGTCAACGGGTGGCCGCAGAGGCGGCGAGAACGACCGCGTCGGGTTCGTCTCAGGTACGCCTCCAGGCGATCTATTCCTGACACGGTTACCATCGGGATCCCTTCTTCTCCTAGTCTCGTCCCTAAGGCACGCAAGACAACAGGGACCCTGGACAAATCCAAATCTCCTGTAGTCATCCTGCCCAGCAGAATGTCTGGTGCAGTAGTAGGTCTTACAAAACTGACACTCAATTCCCTTGGTCAGGAACGAGCTCTCCCTACAGACACCGCATCGGGGTCCGTTACGGGAACACTCTTCACACAGGTTCTCTTTAAACGAGAAACAATACTCACAAATATCACCTCTGCATCCCTTGCAGTGAAACTCAGCCATGAGATGATTATATCCATCACCTACATATTTACATCTGGGTTTACCAGGGTTGCCAGGGTTCCCACCGGCAGCACTCTTCTTCCCCCCTCCTCCTGGGCTTTGCCAATCTGGAGGAGGAGGTGGTGGAGGATCACCATCAGGAGGGCCAGGTGGAGGTGGCCGCTTATCCGGAGTACGGGACGCGGCTCGCCTTCCTCCTGTGTGATCGTTCAATCCACTACTTGAGGCCTGGTTCGAGTGCCTTGACTCGATGGAGCTGATTCTCTGGGCCGTATTACCCAGCACCTCGAGCATTTGCTCGAGCTTACTGTTGAGCGTAGTCGAAACGGCCATGTTATGAGTATTTTGCTTGTCCGTGTAGGACTTGCAGTCCCTTGACTTCATCTCAAGGTTGGCTTGTGTCTCATAAAGTTGGTCTTTAACCCACTTTATGCCGTCCCTATTATTGGTCCAGCGTTGTTCGACATCTTGCATCATCCTATCAATCTGACATACCCTAGTGGACAGGTCCTCGATTTTGAGGTTTACCCCACCAATTGCAGGATGGTTGGATTGGCTCTCCACTAGAGATCTCTCGATCATATCAACACGAGCTATAAGCCCGGTTACTCGATCAGAGAGAGATTCAAAAACAGTTTGAACCTGGGTGATGGAGCGAGCAACATCATCGTAGCTGGCTCGCTCGTTTAGGGCATCGCCTATGCTTATCATGCGATCGGCAACGATCTTGACGCGTTGGCCAAGCTCGGTCACGATGTCCTTAGTCCCTTGTGATAGCTGCATGGCCGCGTTCGCAGCCTGCGTACACGTGCCACTCACATGGACGCATTGGTCGTATTTGGCCCTCCACGAGTTAACCTCAGTGGAGAGCTGCTTGATGCATTGATCACTTCTATCATTCCTACGGCCAAGGTCTTCGACCTTAGCAACCAGGCGATGAATAATCGCACTTACCGAAGAGTCCACTCTCCCTCTTTCAAGGGCTGTTACAAGATCAGCAACCTCGTTGGGTTGCTCCTCATTCGTAGGACCAAATCCTGATCCGCGATCTCGAGGAGTGGACAAATCAACCATGATTGGATTAGATCTCTGAGGAGTTCTGAAATCATCCTGCACGGCCGTTGATGGCCGTGGGAACTCACTCCGATTAGGAGATTGACTCTGATACGGAGCAGATCTCCTAGCATCACGAACCGCAGAGGGTTGTGTCATGCCCAGGCCTTTGGCCACGGGCAGTTTAGGAACAACAGGCCTATCCATTCGCATAGGAACATCAGGTCTCGAGTCAGCAATAACAACGTCATTCAAGTCGGTCGCATTGGACACTCTAGACCCAGACATCGATTCAATATCAGTCGCATTACTGATGGTATGATTGCGACTAGAACTTGATGCCATCATGGACTCAGATTCTATTGGAACATTAGCTCCGTCCATGTTGTCCAGGGCGAAAATGGAAGCCGCGTTGGGCGTAGGGCGAACGCCTTGCGCGTTCGAGCCACTTGACCTATTAAATTCCTCCTGGAATGCTTCGATCCCATCAAGCACGTTAACGAGTGTGTCCGCGTTTAGCGGGTCTCTACCAATGATCGACGCTGGATCACCTGATCGACCGCGTCCGGAGTCCCGCGCACTGGGGTTACCCCTGTGGGCAGTTTCCCGATCCATCCCCCTTGCCCTATGCGATCCAGTCGAATTTGACCTTGATCGTTTGCTTGGGGTTGGACTGGGATGCAAATCCAATCTATCTACGATATTACGCTCCCTAGGGCTCTCAAATCCTGAAAGTCCTGGGGGAGGGGACATGTTCCTCATGGTCGGGTTTACCGACGGCCTTGGCCTGACGTTACGGCTGGCCACGTCAGGATTGAGATTCTCAATCGACAAAGGTAGCATGAATTCATCGCTTCCAGCAGCCCGTTTTGGGCTTTGGAATTGCGGGAAAGATGACGGGGCGGGTGGCCCTGGCATCCATGCGGCAAAATCCATACCAAAAATATTTCCGTCGTTGGGCCATGAGGCTCTCCAATCGAGCCCACCGGATTCGGTCGGCAGATGAACATCGAATGCAACTCCACTGGATATACCAGGTTCGGGATTACCGAGCGCTTGAAAAACTATACTACTGGTTGGCACAGGTCTACTGCTACCTCGAGAGTCACGAAACTCGGACTGACCAATATTCATCAGCTCCGGGAAAGATGAGGATTGAGCTCCAGGTGCAATACCGGGCTCGTCATCATCACGTCCTGAGACGGAATCATCATGGTCAGGACGATTAGCCCCACGACCCTGAGAGCGATTAGCTCTTGAGGCATTAGACGATAGGTCATCAGTGCGAGTAGCACTGGACCTTCCTGAAGGCATTGCTTCGGAAAAAGTGTGGTCCGACAAAAAGTCAGGACCGGAAAACATCGGCTGTCCGGGCACTTGGTCGTCATTCACAACGTCCAAGATTCCGGCCTGGCCGAGAACCCACTCATCGGTCACCACATGAGGTCCATCCTCTGTGATTCCCGCCATGAGTCCTACAGTAGCCTATGGAAAACGGCGCCTGCAGGGTTATTATTAAATGGGGTTCGCGGTGCCAACCGAGGACGAATCCTACGGCTGATAACCTGCGAAAGGGTTTGAAACAGGGTTTCGGGAGAGAATAAACAGGCCCAATCCCACCAACAAGAAGAGATTGTTTAAGTCCCCCAGTCCCAAGGGCAAAGCGGTGCCCTCGGCTGGCCAAACACGAACCAAAACAGGGTGCCAGTTGTAACAAGGTAAAGAAACCCAGCAAGGGCAGAGACAACCGAAAGCAAGCACAAAGCAGCAAACCAAGCAGGCAAACAAAGCAGCGCAGCGAGCGAGCAAAGCAAACCAAAGCGAACTGTCAACCCACCAGCCTGACCCACAACCAGAACCACCAAGGCCACAGCCTATCCAGCCGCGCGCTTTGTTCTCGCGCGGATGGATGGCGAGTGCCGCCGAGGGAGCGCCGACGTTATGGCGGGCGGAAGTTGCCACAGTTAAAAGCTTGAGCCAAACGGCGCGTTGGCCGTGGCGTTGAAACATGTTGCGATAAAACTACATGCCCCCAAAAAACAAATGATTCAACCCTTCTGCACATCCAAACTCCAAAGCTCCAAACGATTCCACGCTGCCATTCCGCGGCCGGCGTGGCAAATCATGCAGACTGAATGGTGATACTGTAGATTCCCAATTGGAGCACGTGCAAAACTCGGAACCCCTGCACAAAACAAACTATCAAATAATTATCAAATCACAAACACGGACCGTCCACAAGAAAAAACAACCTGGCTGCTGACTACGTAGTGTGTCCCCCGGAAAAATGAAAAGTACCCCTCCAAGAATTGGACTCCCATATCAAGGGGCTAAAATCCTGGGCCAAAAAAGCGGCCGAGCTTGGCTTCAAACACAATGGCATGCGGCAAGCAGCTCAATTCAGCCCAAGTTCCCACAGTCTTGGCTCCTGGCTTAAAGCAAAACCCACGAGATTACAAGCAACAAAGAATCAGTTGAAAGCCGAGAAGGCTCCTGGAAACCAGTTGCATCAACCATTTTTGGGGCCCCTTTGGCCTAACCATCGACGCAGCTCGCACTTCGCGCCTCCACAACCACCTCCGCCCAAGGACTCACAAGCTGCGAGTGGCCCCAAGCCTCATCGATTCGATCGGATCCACGGGGGGTGACGCTGAGAGGGCACGTCGCAGGCCAAGCCCTACAAGTACCCTCCCACCAACTAACATGGAACCCTGACGTTCGGGGGGTCCGGGTGTGGACCGTGTTTCTTTTAAAGGGATCAGGTATACCATTTGGTCGGTGGTGTAAATATAAGTAACTGTGCAAAAGGAGGCTATCTGGCAGCGCCAAATTCTTAGAGTTGGGTCGCCCCCTTCAGGCTGCTAACAGGGCAGGTGTTTTGTCTCCCCATGCGTGGATGCACGCATACATCTCCGAGCATTCTGGTTCCTTGTTGAGACATCCAAACGAATCCGGAATGCATTCAGCTTCATACCGGCCATTGGACCTGGAACCAGCTCAACTTGCTTGGAACCACCCCCTCCCGCCTGGTAGTCATTCTTGTCCGAGCTTCTGGCCGGTGAGCAGAAGACCACCTCAGGTCCATCTGACCCAACCAGTCCTACTGGCCGAAGTTTGGCCGCGCCCCTTGACCAAAAGCCTTGGTACCCTGCGCAACCTGACCGGAAGGGAATTCGCATCTACCAGAAAGGGCGGCCACAACTTTAGGTGGATGGCCTGGTGCGTTCTGAGAACAAGGGGGGCAAAAAAGAACGCCCGAAACGTGTCTGGCGCCCGGCAAAGCCATCTAACGTGGTGTTCACCCCTCAGGCCTAAGCCTGGGCATTCCGGAGAGAAGCGCCCACGGTGTTTGTTAAAATGTGGCTCCGCGGGCCAACCCCAGCTTGCCGAAGCCGGGGCCCCGCTCAAAAAAAGGCAAAAGGAGCTGCTAAGCTACTCAAGGGCTAGGACTCCACCCCCGAATCGAACTCCTTCAGTCCCAGATGAATCACTCCAGCGGATATCCACGACTAAAGGAGCCTGCCCAAAACCCCATGTTGTTTTGTGTTTTTTTCTCACAGGCGGCCGCACCTGAGTATAGTGACTGGTCCCGGCTCACCTTCTACACAGATGTCTATGGCTCACTTTTTGGGTGGGGCGTTTGACCGGAAACCCGTTTTGGGATTGAAACTTCAAGACGCCACCAAAGAGAGGCAACCCTTCTTGGCCCTAGACAGGGGTTCCAGATCTCAGGCTTTGATTGCACGCCTTCAGAACCCCCCAGAAACCACAGCAACCACCAAAACAACCCAAGAATCCAAAAGAAGCACCCCAAAAATCCATCTAAGAACCGAGAAACCCAGCCAACACCTCAAAATACAGTCCAAGAACCCCAGAAACCCAACCAGGAACCAAGTGTTGAACCAAGAACCCACACCGGGAACCCCCTAAAAAACGACGAGCACCGCCCCATTCTGCAAAAAACACCGAGAGGCGTAGGACTGGGTGTCCACCGCACGGCCCCGCGCCAGAAGCCCGTAATGCGCCGGACCCGTGGTCATGTTGAAGGCCCCAGGGTAGATCATGACCTGCGGGCGGGCTCGAGCCACCTCTCTTTGGCACCCCAAACGGGGGGAATGCCGTTTTTCCTCCACTTGGTTGACGTAGGTTGACGTTGGAAGGGGAGCAAAAGTCTAAATTTTATAAGCTAAGTTACTAAACCACAATAAGCAAAAATGCAACATGGTTCCCAACAACAACCATGGGAATGCCGTTTTTCCCGGCTGAAAGCTAGTGCTCAAGTAACCCAAGATGTGGCAGTTTGGAGTGGTTTGGGGATTTGAACTCCTGGTTTTCTGGAGGGTGGCACCCCAAAAAGGGGTGCCTACACGGCGGTTCCACGTGAACCAGTGGGAGGGTATATACAGAGTGGTTGGGATTGGACGCCGGTTCTAAGTAAATGGGAAAAGGGGGGCACCCTGCCGGAGCCAATGCTCAGGCAACCCAAGATGTGGCAGGTTGGATTGGTTTGGGGATTTGAACTCCTGGTTTTCTGGAGGGCAAATTAGAAACCCCTCCTTCATCACAAAAGGGATTCAGACCATTTTTGGAGGGAACAACCCTCTATTGATGAGAGAGGTTTATTAGTCCCCAGGCAATAGGTAGACTGTCTGATTCTTTTTTAGATTTAGCTAGTCTTAAACTAAACAATTTTGGAGGAGGATGCCTCAGATTTGGGTACTTGCCACTCAGAGCTCGGGAAAGCAGAAAACTGCTTGACCAAAACGTGAAAGAAAGGCTACTTTATAAAGAATCCGCCGGGGCGGGGGGGCCCTAGGGGGGGGGTCCTTAGGGAGTCGCTAACGAGTCAGAACGCCGCGGGTTTCAGTTGGAGGTATCGCAAGTGGTTTGTTTCATGCGCCTGTCTGACGGCAGGGAATGCCTCAGGAAACGGCTGATACATTCCTTGGATGAACACAGAGCCCGGGGCACCGAGCTAGTAAAAACCTCGGCACGTCCAAGGAACCTGGGCCTCGGAATGGATTCAGCACAGCTCGGACAGCTTTCAGCCAATCCAAGGGTGGCAATCCTGCCTTCAAATACTCGCGCTTCGCCTGGGAGGGCGGTGCTAAGAAATATCGCGTTTAAGGTGACAGATCCCAGCCACCGAGGGAGCCTCAAAGGTTGTCCCACATCAGAAAGTGAGGAGAGGCGGCAGGCATGGCCGGGGCCCTTTAAAAAAAACTAAAACAACTTGAAGAGTGCCCTGGTTCCCTTCTGTGGCCGGGGATCGCCACTCGCCCCACTCACCCCAGCCCCTTTCTGAATACCCCCACCCCACCCAGGCGGCACCGTGCACAACGCAAGCCGAAGCTCGGGATTGCCCCGGATTCCGGAGCCTTGTCCCAATGTCGACCCCGGATCGACAAGTAGACCCGTTCTATCAATACTGTGGATGGAAGAAATCCGTTCCGCAGCCCTTTGAAACCAGGGTTGAAACCAGAAGGTGTGTTGGTATCTACGAGGAAATCCTCCTTCCGGGGTTTCTTAGGTCTTATAGAGAGAGGTTAGAACAAGGGCACCTTTTTTCTGTAGTCTATTTTAGTAGGGGGCTTCCCTCCCAGCCAAAAAAGTTGGTAATTAAAGGGGCACCAATTGCTGGGGGACCTAGGAGGGTACATAGGCCACCCTTCCCTTCACCACCAAAGCCACCCATCCAACCCGGCCGGGCTCGGGACGCCGAACCCTGGGCCTTGGCGCCCTCCGCGCGCATGGCCAGCGCCAGCTCGGGGAAGCGGGAGTCGTAGCAGATGCCGAGGCCTTGGCTAGGTCTGCCAGCAGAGAGGTTAGAAGGGTACCGTTTCTTTTTTCCTGTGGTCTATTTTAACAATTAGGAGGGGAAGGAACCCCCCCCCCCAAAAAAAAAGGGGGGCCAAAGGGCACTACCGGGGGACCTAGTTGATCTCAGCTGGAGACCGCTGCGTGGCCAGTGCACCTGTGCCAAAAACCCGAAAACCTGTTGAGGGAACTCGTCCCCATCGTGACTAATTAAATGGATACAGCAGAACAAAAAACTAGCTCAGCTAGTTTTAAAGGAAGAAGTTCAAGGTCCAACGCAAGAGGATTCAAGCACAAGTCACTACAGGGTGAACGTGGATGCAAACGTCCCTTTCTGGCGGTACAGGGGTGAGGGTATGACAAGAACAAAACGGTTGGGGGGAAGCACCACACCTTGGTTGATGCTCATCACCGCACGTCCCTCTCAGAGAGCATCCGGAGCACTTTGTGAGGAAACACCTCTTGAACCACCAGGTTGGGGGACCTGTGCCATCTATTTTCGAACCCAACCCAACCCAACCCAACCCCAAACGAAATTCGGGCTTGCAGCGACTCTGTGACGTGACCCGCTTGCCCTTGAAAGTGGCTTGGGTGGAACTTGCTCCACCACCCACGCCACTTCAGGGAGGCGGCGCCCCTTGCCCCATTTCTTCCACCAGCCCCTTTAGAACCAGAACTGGAACCATAACTTTTTCAAGCCATTTCTTCAACCTTTAGAATCAGAACTGGAACCTCTTTTTTTTTTTTGGGGGGGGGGGCGTTGGTCATTTTCAGCGGGGGAAGCCACCAACGCGGCCCGGCCCACACTAACACGAGTCGAGCTCTCCTGCGCGGCACCAGGGCAGGTCCACCAAAGTCATGGTCTCGCCCGCCGTGAGCACGTCAGACTCCTCAAAAAAGCTACTGAGGATGGACGAAATCCATTTCGCATTATTTGGAAACCATGCGAAACCATTGTTCATTGGTATTTGCAGGGGACTCAGCCTTCCAAAAATTTCTTAGGTGCAGGATTTCCTCCATCCACAGTATGGGCTCACCGGGCGGCAACGAAAAATGGTCGGCCTCCTGGTTCCACGTTCAACCCACCACCAAAAAATTCCCCCAGACGTGGAAGCGGACAGCCGCCGGCCTGTTTCAATGGGCGGCAAAGTCTTCCAAAACGCTGAAATGTCCGACGAAGAATCCGCTTTCTGAACGCTCCCCCCCCCCATGTCTGGCGAACACTTGGGGTCTATTTTGCAACCTCCTTCTTCTAGGGCACTGGTTTTTTTGGGGTATGGTTGCAAAATAGACTCTAGGTGTCCATGGCACATGGCACCCCCCCCCCCACCATGTCTGGCGTCGCATTTTTGCCGCCCTCTCCGTAGGTTTCCTTCCCGCCAGCCCGCCTTGAACTTCATGGCAGCCCTGGCCGGACGAAAGCTTAGAGTGGGGCACCATGGGCGCGGCTTGCGGTGCCCCTTGTGGCCAAGGGAGCCAAGCAGAAACTCAAACTGGCGATTTCGCTTGGTAGTGTTTTTCTTGCGGGGTTGGTGGTCGGCTTTCGAGTTGGTGGTTTGGTTTGGCTGGGTGGTTTCGATACTTCGCCATTTGGCGCCGGAACTGGGGCTCAAATCCAAACCAAACACAACCAATATGGGAAATAGGTTTCCTTGTGGCATGAAGGGCAAAATTGGACGCATGACCCCTTCAAGGCGACACTTTCAGCGTCAACTTGGCCTCTCAGTGAGCTTGCAGGCAGTGTTGGAAAGGAAAGGACCTCAGGAAAGACCTGGCCGTTAGGCCGTTAGGACACCTATGGCCAGGACCTCCCGGATTGCGAAAGTCAACAAACACATCTGCCATGTGAAAAACATTGTTGCAATTTCCACGACCTGACCCAAATCCAGCCAGCCGGCCAGAGGCTTGAAAATTCGGCGTGTTCGAGGTCGAGGACCGGCACAGGAAAATGGCCCGAAGGCAGGCGAAGCTCCTCCTGGAAAGCCGTATGACCCCTCTTTATTTTTGGACGGAGCCCGTATTTTGGATCGTTTTTCCCGTATGGTCATTTTTGTGTGGCCCAAGCCGTATGGAGAGAAAAAAATAACGTCACATATGTGTTTTTTCCAGATTTTAATCACCATGGCCCGCCTCTGAAAGAGAGTAAAGCTAGCGAAAAACCATGGCCAAAAAGCTGAACCTTGTTGAAAGGCTTTGTGTGACCACTTTGCCGCAAGCCTTCAGGTAAGGAACCTGAAAGTTGAGAGCGTGTCGGGGGCCAAATCGAGCTCCAATCTGATCAGTTGACAACCCAAGGCCTGAGAAACATGTTCAAGCCAAACATCCTCACCTCCCCAGACGCATTCTGCTGAAAGGCAGCCACCAAGCGCACCAAGCTGCCCTAGAAGCACCCATAAATCGATGCAACCGTCAACCGAGTCAACAGTCGCAGGTGCGTAAGGCCTGCATGAGCGCATGTCAAAAATGACGTCTTCGGGCGAAGCTCAGAGTTTCAAAGGAGCTCAGCCATTGGGCAACCTCTGACATGGGGCACCGCCCCCCGCAGTTCCGCTGCCTTACCACGATTTCGAGGCCATGGTTCGGGGATCAAAACTTGAGAACACCTCCAGCAGCTTTGCTTTGAACAACTCCCATGTGGGTGTCCTTTTTGAGGGTACCTGTGTCTGCTGGTTTGAAAGGGGAACCAGAAGAAAAGCAACTTTGTGTGCAAATACCCTAAAAGAAGATAAAGCATTTGTGTATACACTGCGAATGTGATTTCAGTTTCCGCCCCCTTTCTTGCTCAATTGAAACATCCCTGGTATCAAACGCGTTGACACAGCGGCAAACACAAAAACGCCGCGAGCCACCCTGGCCTCTCGAGTCTCTCTTGGACATGCGTAATTCACAGCCCGGGCAAACGGAAGCTCAATTCTGGCTCGAAAGAATAACGCAAAACGGGATGACCTATGCTTGACTGAAGACAAGAGAGTGGGAGAGATGGCCCGTGAACTTTGCACTCATGAAGACCCATTAAGATAGCCTTCACTTTACCAAAAAAAATAGCTCTGACATCCCCAACAGCATGCGGTGCTCTTTTTAGTGCTCGCACCACGCCGCAGCCCTCGCAGAACCTCGTGGAACCCTCGTGGAACGCTGGTGGAACCCTGGTGGAACCTTACCTCAGGGCCGCCCCGGACCACCCCGGAGCCTATCTGGGATGAGACCCCAAAGCTTTCAGCTGTTGGGGAGGAAAAAAAAAGCTTGCCCCTTTCTTCTGATGGCTTCTCTCCCGCAGAACCCCCGTGCATGATTTGCTTCTCCGCCCAACACCAAGGCCGCCGAATCCGCCGCTGCCCCTCAAAAATTCCGCCGCCTCGTGGCGGTGGCGGCCACGTCGATGTCGAACAGGTGCACCTTGCGGTGCCGCGCCACCTCGGGAACGAAGGACTTGAGGCCGGCGGTGGGGTGGGGTGGGGTGGGGTGGGGGTGGGTGGGGGGTGGGGGTGGCGTGGTCGGCTGGGAAGCGGCAAGACTCGGAGCCCCCATCAAAAAATTCTGGGGCCAAGGCGAAGATTCGGATGGAAACCCCCAAATCTGGGGGGGTCAAGATCCAGACCCCCAAAAACTGGGCTCAAACTGAAGATTTGGAAAAATTCTCAAAACTTCTGGGGGCTGCTTCCTGATTCCTGACTGACTGCTTGAAACTTGCCCGGCAAAAGACTTAGTAATTAACCGACCCAGCAAAGGTCAGATTCAACCTTCCACATCTTCAAGCAACACAGCACCGGCGCCTCATCCCTCTCTGAGGACCAACGCTTGGGGCGCGGCGATTCCACCCTCCGGGTTCACCACCAGGGAGGTGTTGTACACCTTGTCAGCCTGGCTGAAAGCTTGCTGCTTCAATAGGCAGGGTCCCTGAGAAATGGAACCCCTCTAAAATCTATCCTCTACGGCCCCCTATAAATCCAATTCCCAAAACCCGCGGGCTGGTTGACTTTCCCTACCTACAGCGCCGGCAAGAAAAACAACTCGCCCGATCCAACTCGATTGCTCGGAGTCAACCCGGGCTCGCACATGCGACTGGCTCTGATGTCGTCCGGCGAAAGGCGATCTCACCTCTTGAGTTTCTTGGCCCAAGAACAAATTGGTACCCCGACAGCTTCTTTGCCACGAAAAGGGTCCAGACCCGAGTGACCTAAGTCCAACTCTGGAAGCGGGTGATCAAACATCATTCTCGAAAAGCTCGGGATTTCGTGGGTATGATGGCGAATGAGGGATGTTTTTGTTGGTGAACATCTTGCAGCAGGGTGTCTCTGCCAAGTAATTTGAGGGGCTCCAATTCAAATTGAAATTGGCTACCTCAGCTTTTGCCCCTCAACTAAACAAAACGTGCGCCTCCAGATTTGTTGAACCTCAAAATGTAACAATGTAACACGAATCCTCTTGAATGGATAGTGGGGAAACAGTCGCATGTTCAAACGGGAAAAACCGTGCTCAATTCCGGTGCACACCAACAACCATACCTTCAGATTCTGCTTCATACGTAGCCGCTAAAAGGTATCATTGGACCAGAGTTAAGGTAAGGCCCCTGAGGGTAGGTAGGGGTAGTTGAGGGTCCTAGGGTGTTTTTAAGGGCTTGTTGGGGGTTTCCCTAGATGTAGATGTTTTCCCTCGGGTTTCTTCGGGCTTTTCCGGCATTTTCCAGCTTTCTTCCGTTTTCGCCTCAGGGACACCCCGCCGCCCCTTCAGGCCTCCAGCTCCGGCAGCGAGCCCCCCACGATCCAGACCTTGTGCTCCTTGGCCTCGGCACCGATGGCGGCCGCGCGCAAGCGACCGTCCCAGCCTCCCAGGAGGCGTGGTTACTGGGCTGCCCGTTTTCGGATCCCCTGCTAAAAGTGAATCACTTTTAGTGGGTTTCATGGAAAACGACCACTAAACACTAATGGCTAAGAAGCTAAGTGGATGCCTGGGAGCCACCAAGTTTAGAGAAGCCAGAGGTCGCCTCTTGCGGAGGGAAAAAATCATCACCGTTGGTTTGAATCACCTGTTTTGGCGTTCTGCTCACCTCAAGGCTGTTTGTCGACCTTTGACACACATCACACAAGTACCGGCGAAGTAGAAGGTTCCCTTGGGAAAGCAGGTGGTTGGATGTATCCCTTTAAGGCACCTTGTTCACGTTCGCTTGTTGGCAAGTCGGCCTTGTTTTCTTGGCGACTTCTTGGGACAGTCATCGGTCCCTAAGGCTTATTGGGCTGTTGGGCTTCAGAACTTCATACATGGGCATGTGTCAGAAGAGTGGCTTTCCTTTCGGCCCCCCATGAAACCAACCTGAAAAGGGTACCCTGCATTACCCTCCTCAAACTCCCAATAAACATGGGACAACTGGCGGGGTGGCTCGTCTGTAACAAAAACATACCGCCAGTCAGCCTCCCCCTAATGAATAGTTTGGATTTGTGGTTTGGCCCTCTTGCAGAAACAGGGGGTCAAATCCAATCCACACCACAAATCCAACCCAATGGAGGCTTACCAAACTTGCTGGTGCTCAGAAACTGAAATGAGGGAATGACCCCATATAAAACATCCATCTGGTGGTTTCCTTTAAGGGAATCCCTATCAAAGTGAGGGAATGAGCCCCATAAACCATCCATCTGGTGGTGTCCTTTCAGGGAATCCCAAACGGTTCATTCCCACCTTCCCCTACTTATCGCACCAAGTGAAGCCGCATCGGGAAGAGGATGGGGGGGGGTCAAATCCACACCAATCCAACCCCCCAGCCTGACCAAACGTTACCTCATCCACCGGAAGATGGGCCACTGGGCCAATAAGCCGATGGGCTTCCGGGCCATCTCGCAGAGCAACTTCACGCTGGGGCTGGACTCCCCAGCCAGCTGGCCTGAAGGGCCAAGAGGCTTCGAACCTTGTGGTTTTAGTCCCATGGTTTCATTTCCTGGTGCCTAAAGCAGACTTTGCAACCATCCACAGAATCACGCCTGGTTGGCCTCCTTGTGTGGCCTGCTAACCGAAGTGCCTAACGCCTCTCACTTTTGGACACTCCTTGCCCGCTTTCCGTTTCGGGTGGCGATGTGCACATCTCCTTTGGGGTCACAGATGCCCATAAGCTTTCAGTCGAGCCTTACACACGAGGGGCTAGTTGGGGGTTGCCAGGAAGCCCGAGCGACTCCATACTTCCTGTGGCTGGCTGCGACATCCTCGTTTCGGCACCACCGTTTTTGGCAACTTAACGGAATCGTTCGATTCCTCGCACAAATACCGTTGAAAATTATGCCATGGCTGAAACCATAAAACGTGGCTTGGCTTTAACAGGGACATCGAATCACTCCCTTGGGATTCTGCACGGTGGTGCGCCTTAACGACCATTTCGCCACCATCCACCCGCGTCTTCGGCTCCCATCATTACCTAGGTCCTCCAGATTTGAGGGGTTCGAATAAGGGCACCAACTTTTTCCTGAATCAGCGGTAAAAGTTGGCACCAATTGCTGGGGGACCTCAAAGATTGCACAACCCCAAACGGATCCTAAGTACAGCTTGAGAATCTGAGCCAGAAGTCTCTACCCAATCGCACCTAGAGAAGTCCTCCCCGGACCCCGGACCCGAGAAATCGATCCGAGGCCTGGCAGCGGCAGCCTCTCGCCATAGTCCCGGAAGTACTTGGTGGCGTAGGGGCAGCTCCACCTGGGTATGGGTCAAAAATGGGTACCCAGGACGAAAAACCAAGGACGAAAAAAGGACAACAACCATGGGTCAAGAATAGAACCATAGACAAACATATATTTTGGTAAATGGAACCAAGGACGAAACCCTGCGGTCCATATCCTGGTGGTTTCATTTTGACCCATACCCACCTCCCGGGTTGGGCAAAAAGGGGCTCCACCATGGCCCACCTCTGTCGCTGCTTGGACATTTTTTTCCGGACCCCGAGGCCCACAGGGTCCAAAGCAGGGAAACAACACAGGCACATGTTGAAACCACAACTGTTTTTTAAGACCTGCTTGCGGTCCCTTTTTTTGGAGACCGGGGTGGCTGCTTCAGCATCACGCCCTGCAGTTCAAAGGGGTTGCCATCCCCGCCGGCTGGAGCAAACAACATCCACCACGATGCTTCTGAAACCTCGTCTGTTGGGTTGGGCCAGACGCCTGGCCCGGGCGCCTCGAATTGCTTGCCAAACCCCAGAAGCATAACTTCAGTTCGGCCGATCTCCTGCGGCCTTGGCTGGCTTTTGCAAAAACCAATTAACAACGAATACGTGTATGTGTCAATATAGTGGTTCCCCTTCCCACCAAAAAAAAAGAAAAGAAAAGAACCGCGTGTCGTTACTTTGCTTCTTCCGTTCAGCCAACCTGAAAAGTGCACCCTCAAAAAAAAAAAAAACAGATACCTAGACATGCTTCCAGGCAACACTACTCATATTATTGTTTTTTTATTGCTTAAAAACTCATGAACTTTGCCAGCTTCAGATCCTTGGCCTCCCTGTGCGACCCCCGGTGAGGCTCGCTCTCCCAAATCCAAATGGTCCCGCACGTCCCGTGCCGAGGCGCATCTCCCCCAGCACCACCAGCCTGCAGCGCCCAAACCCAAACCGCGCCCCACTCGCTGGCGCGATAGGTAGGGAATGGCCACGCGCGCCGCGAGACCGCGCGCTTCCGCGCGAGTCCGGGGGTTGGGGAGAAAACACCCGGAAAAAACGGGATACCCGAAAGGAAACCAGAGGGGATGGAATGTACAGGGGTCGATTCCAGTGATTCCATTTCTCATTCCCTCCATTTGTGATAGATTCCCTTTAAAACCAACAGGGGAAAATCACAAATATTCTTGACCAAATGGAAGATTCCCTGCTGAGAACCGCAAGCTTAGAACGTTGCTAACCACTCGGGTTTGCTCCCGACGTTCTGGGGGTGGTTTGGGGCCGAAGCCCAGCTTCGCTCCACGGAAAACGAGCCTGCTTAGACAGCACAGGCTTCAAGCGGATCCATGCCAAACCCTCAGTTCTCGGCAACTCGCAGATGCCTCTACTGCAGATGCTGCAACTCGGGCATATTGCGCGGAAAATTCCTCCGCTCAAGGCGGTTCGTCTATGCGACGGGTTCCTGCGCCATCCAGCACCAAACCTGTGCAATCTATCCGCCGGGGTGATTGGGAAGCCACCTGCCTCCCCTAGAGCACACTCTGTGCATCTAGGGTTGAGCTGGCCCAATGACTGAACACGTTTAAACCACCTATTCTTCGTGCCTAAACGCGGTTGTGACCACCCACCCAGAAAAGAAGAAGAAGAACTAACTAAGTTCCCCTGCATTTTTTTACATGCAACCCAAGAATCCATCATGAGAGGATATTCCTTTTGGGGGACCCACTGTTTGGGGTTCCCAGGTTCGCCACGCCAACCAGCGGATAGCAGCAATCGATTGGAACCAAACATGGCAACCCTTGTTTGAGGGCACTTTTTCAAGGTTGGTTTAAAGAAAGCCGAAAAGCAAAAGCAAATGTAAAGATTGGATTTAAGAAAGCCGAAAAGAACAAACACAATCATTTGAATACATATCCAAATTCAAACTCAACGGCTTGAGAGGACCTCTGGTTTTCCCGCCTTGACTGCCCAAGAAACAGTTCTACCGAGAGCACCCAGCAACTCAACTTCCCGGTGCGATAGGCAGGGAATGAGACATGGAATGACCCCTATAAATTCCATTCAACTGCTGGTTTCTTTTAAGGGAATCCCTGGGAGAGAAAGGAAATGACACCTAAAGAAACCATCCAACTGGTGGTCTCCTTTAAGGGAATCCCCTCACGGTTCATTCCCACATTGTGACACGCCCTATCGCAACGCCCCAAATCCGGTGTTTGGGGGCCCGGCTCAGCGCCCTTCTTCACCTGAGCTGGACTCTTGGCTTGAACCAGGCCGCAGCTTTGGAGCTGGGACTTGGATTGACCCCTTGGAATATCTTGTCATCCTTTCGTGTGATCTGTTTGTGTGTTGGTTTTTTTTGGTTGCGCGGGAGGGGGGGAGGTTGTCAATCCGTTCGTTTGCTTTGTTGTTCTTCTCATTTTTGTTTGTTCTTTTTTTTGTGGGGGGGGTCCGCTTCAACCCGGTTCAAACTTCACATTTTCAAGAAGCAAACATGGGAAGTGGATTCCAACGGACTGCTCAATCCGGGCCCTCATCCGACCTCCACAAGTGTCCAACTCCAGAGACATAGCCCTGGTCCCATGAACCGCTCACCAGACTCCAGGCCAGCTTTCCTTTGGCTTTGTTGGGGGTATTTTGCCCCACCATGTTGGAGGTCCCCTCAAAGGAGACGCGCCCAACTGCACTTCCTCAGGAAGGTTGCTAAAATCCCATATGAGTCACAATCAAAACCAGGTACAAAAAAATGGTGAACCCAGAACCATGTAAAGAATTAGAAAGGCGGCCGCAACTATTTCCTGCTGGGACTGCCCCTTACTAACCTTCATCTACCCGGGTTTTGATTGTGGCTCATCTGTTCTGGGGGTCTCGGGGGTAACTTCCTGTAGATTATTCCGTGCGCTGGGAGACAAACATGGGAACTAATCTGCAACAACATGGCGATGCACAATGTCATCATCATCATCATCAAAAACAACAAAAAACACAACAGGTAGTGCTTTCCTGCAGGTTGCAATTTTCAACGTACCTGATTGCTAACATCAACGGGGTGGTTGTCATTTCATGTTGCTCTCCACAAACCAAGGTCTTTCAAAGGGTACCTAAAAGCTGAATACCCATCTTCCATTCACATCCTTTTGGGGGGGGTTCCTTTTGGATTTCCCTCCAACCTGGCCCGGGTTCCCTAAGTTGGCTACCCTGTGGCAGAGCAGGCGGAGTGGGACCCCCAAAAGAATGGGGACTTCGGGTTTCTTTGCTGCAAAAAATGGATCCGCCACCCAGGTTTCCTATTGGCTTTCCCTCAAGCCAAGCTCTCTTGGCACGGGGTACCCTAAGTTGGATACCCTGTCTCGGTTGCTTTCTGCTCCCCTGCCAAAAGTGACTCACTTTTGGTGCTTTAATACGGAACACCCAAATTAGTTGGCAAAAAGTTGTTCAGTCCTAACATCCCTTGGCCAAATGCACCAAAGCCGTGGCACCCCATGGCGAAATGCAACAAATTCCGGGGGGGGGGGGAACCGGGGAACCCGCCCCAAACCTTTGGGCTCCGGGCTGCTTCCTGGATGGCCGCCTTGGCATTGGCCAAGCTCTCCTTCTTGTCATGGCCTCAGCGACAGGACTCCGTGAGGTCCAGATGCGAGAGGTTAGAAGAAGGGCACCAACCTTTTCTTCAGGACGTCTATTTTTTAGTAGGGGGCTTCCCTCCCAAAGGGGTGAGAAAGGGCACCGCAAAACCCAGACTCTCCTCCTGAGTGGGCTGGCAAATCAAACAAGCACCCAAAAGCTTGTTCTTGTTCGCCAAAATGGTCCACACCCAAAAAGTGACTGAAGTCCAGGAACTCAGACTCAGGAAGCGCGTTGATTTCGGATTCAACTGTCATGGAGCCTGACGGGTCCTAGAGGAAAGTGGACCTCTGGTGGGATCCAGAGGAAATAGGGGTAACTACCCTGGATTAAGAAGGGGTGTCCCCTTTCAATGAGGGGTTCGTTCAGACCAATGGACAATACCCGTGAGGACCGGAGTAATGTTACGATGTGGATTCATCAAGAGCAAATGGGGCTTATGTTACGAGTTCGGACGAATCCGGACCGTAGGGGGTCTTCTTTGTTTGGTATCTATTTTAGGGGGGTTGCTCTCACTGATAGGGTCCTCCAGGTTAGTCCGAGGACAACATGACTCCCCTGCAAGATAACGTGGAACTCAAAACGGGGGTCTCCCAAAAGGAGTTCCTCTACAAATTGTGGTTTTCGGGGCTCGCTGGTAATCTGCACGGGGGTACTCCAAAACCGGAGGTTAGGTCGGGGCTAACATCCTGTAGAAGTTCCTGTAGGTTTCTCTCCGAATTACGAGAATTCATCGTTTTACCCCTTACGGCATAACTTGTGCTTGCAAGTCCTTATGCCAAACCCCCTAAGTGCAAACCCAAGCTCCCCCCAAGGCGCCTTTCCGCATGGAAGTGGAAAGCCGCCTCACTCCCTGCCCAGTTGAACTTTTAGTGGAAAACCAAAAACAACTAAATAAACAAAACAGCAGACGGCAGTGCAATCATGCTACCCCACCCCACCCCGTAACTGCCCGATAATCGCCAATGGAAACTCCCTGAACTTTGGCCAAAAAAGGCCGATGTCTTTAGGCAGCCTGGAAATACCTTACAAGGATCCCCCCCTCCCGAGAAAAAAACAACTGCATGGTTCCGGACCTCGGAAAATCCGGTGGAAATCCAGGGGGGATACGGAATGATATGGACACCTAGTCTAATATTGACCCAGGACTAACAAACCCCGGTTCATTAATTTGGGGGTGTTCCCCTCCTAAAGTGATAAATCCCCACTAAAACCGGGGAGAAGCACCCCCATATGAATAAACTGGGGTTTCTTGATCCGGGGGTCAACATTGTGAAGCCAGCCTCTCGCTTATTCGGGTGTCGCGAATGGCCGGGGTTGCGTCCAGGGCCAAGAAACGGCCCAAAGGCCCCAGCCCCTTTGAAGCTGAGCCCCGAGCTCACGTGCGTCCTCAGGCCGTGCAGCGACAAGCCATGGAGACGGAGGCGACTCCCCAAAGGTGTCGAGGGCATCTAGCTGCATCCCCTGCAAATACGTAAGTAGATTCCACTAGGTCCTCCAGTAGGGAGGTTAGAAGAAGGGTACCAACTTTTTCTTCAGGACGTCTATTTCAGAAGGGGAAGCCTCCCAACCAAAAAAGGGGTGAGAAAGGGCACTACTGGGGGACCTAGTAGTGCAAGGGACTGCGGTCAAGCACTCAGCCAGAAAGCTCCTCCATCGGACCGAGCGCGAGCTTTGCGACAACTTTGCGAGAGCTAACTTGGGCGCCCCTGCTGGCAAAGACCCACCTTGAACTTGCTGTTGGAGCCTGGCAAGGGCTGATGGCCTTGATCCAAGGGAAACACCTCCGATACAAGTTGCAGCACCTCCAAAAACACGTTGCGCCGCTGCGCAAAGGAATTGCCACCCACGCGTCTGCCCCCCCCCCCAAATAGCAAATTCCCTTTCCCCAGAATAAGTAGGCCTTCTTGGATTTTCCCAAATTTGTATGACACCAAATGTGGGCCTTTTCTATAAAATTGTCACTTGAAAGGGGGGTTCCCTTGGTATCACAGACGTTGACCCCGCAGACCGATGCACCACAACTCCGCGCCTGGGACACGGCCAGCCGCGTAGCCTGCGCCTGAGAGCTAAAAGCAAGTCACAAGTGGCTTCCGAGATCGTTGATTCTCTCGCGCCAGCGAGAGCAGAACCCGCTCCGAGATCTTTCGACTATTCGACTATTCCTTCCTGCGGGGCGAGTTGGAGTCCCCATCCGGGGGCCCGTGCTCATGAGAACGCCGAAGCCAGGCGCGGCCCTGCGGCCGTGTGAGGTCTCAAAAGCCCGAAAAAAACATAGAGTTCGAGGTTCCTGGTGGTTTCCCTTGAACATGTGAGATTAAACAAAAAAAAAAGGAAAACCATTTCCTGGTGGTTTCTCATGAACAAGGGGATCCTCACTGGATTTCCCCCCCCCAAACAGAAAAAACCGGAGCTCGGTGTTCAAAACGCGTTCAAACATGCTCCTTACCGGCGTCTATGCAGTTTCTCTTTACCACCCCGGGGTTTCGGCCCTGCACATTCCCAACTTCAGAACTCCGGCGAGAGCAGACATGGACAGGTCATAGCACTTGGAACCTCGGCATCTTGGAAAATAGGAACATCCCCACAATGCTCGGTTGCCGCTTGGTCTCCCTTTTAAACCAGAAAAAAAACAAAAAAAAAAACACCCGATAAGCACAAATGGATGTGACTTCTTTTCAGGGGACACCCAAATTGGTGGTTCTCCTTTTGCTTTCCTGTTTGAAGCACCCCCGCCAAACAAAAAAGAGGTTCCCTCAACCCCAACAAATGGGTTCCCTCAAAACTCAAAAATCGAGCTCGGGGTCCCCTGGCCAGTCGGTCCCATCCCCGCGGCGCCCCTTCCGCCCTGCCAGCGAGTCTGTGCGGAAGGTCTTCGCCGCTGGGCTGCGGCGGCCCCGGCCAAGAAATGCGCCTCGAGCCCATGTTTGCCCCGCGGTCGGGTCGTGTTTTTAGTGGGGGGCACACATGGGATGTTTGTTGCCTGGTCGTTTGGGCACATGGCTTGTTTGTTTTTTGGCCTGAATGCGTTGAGGGGTGGGGGGGCTTCTCCAAATTGTGGACTTGGTATTTACAGGGAAACCAGAAGAGCACATCCATCTTTGCGGGGGGGGAGGGCATGGTGCCCCTGCTGGTGCGATAGGCAGGGAATGAGAAATGGAATGCCCCCGAGAAAACCCATCCGACTGGTGCTTTCCTTTAACAGAATCCCCAGGTTTTCCCACATTCCCAACTGAACACAAGCAAGTTTGTGTTGCCCTGCCCCTTCCAGTGACAGGCGCGTAACCCCTGTAAGGCGCTCCTTTCATTTGACCACAAAAGCCGAAAAGCCCCGACGCGTTTGGAGTTGCAGTGGGCATTCCAAATGCCAGACAACTGGAATGCCGCGCCCCAGGTGTCTTCAGCCTGTGACGGAACCAATCTGTGGGAGTTGTTCATGGGGGAAAGGCCTTACTTGCTGGTGCTCAGTAGGGGATGACCCAGAGGCAACACCCCCCCCCCTCCCTCCTGGTCCCTCCACATAAGGCGTGGGGGGGGGGGGGGCGGGGGTCGGATCCTTGGAATTTTTGAGAAACACCCACCCAGTGGATCCCGGGCAAGCCACTAAAGTATGCAGGTCACCAACAATTGTCCGTGTGATTCTTACGGCTGGCTTGTTTGGTTCCCCGCCTTTACCAGGTACCCTCCCTCCCACTTACATGGCTTTTTTCTGGGAGGGTGCCTGGCAAAAACCGCTCCGCTTGGAGGAAATGACCATTTCCCTGTCAGGTGCCATGGTGGCAGAGAGGGTCATTCAATGGAATCACCGGGCGCATGTTGGGCGCCCCTGCGTGCGCGGAGCGGGGAAGCAACGCGCCCAGCATTCGGCTTCAGCCCGACGGCTGCGAAAAAGTGGCCGTCGTCTCTCCGTGGCCGCTGGGCCGGAGGAGTCCCCCAAACAAGTTATCCTCCCGACTAACATGGAACTGCACCGACCCCCCTAGAAAGACCACTTTCCTCTTAAGGGGGGTTGTGCACTTCCATGTTGGTTGGTGGGAGGGTATATCCTTGTCCGGAAAAAATAATGAAAATTCAGGAACCCCAAAAGGGCTCCTGTAAGCAACAATTGCGAGTTGAGCCTGGCAAGTGCCAACATTATGCTGCAAGTTCGGTCAATTTCAGCCGTGATACCCAGTTCTTTCACCAAATGATGTGATGCGTACGTAGGTTTTGAGTGGAACCGACATGTTGCAAGATTACTTGATGCTGACCCCATAACCTAGGCAGGGCGCTCCCGTTTAACGAACATGTGAGGGCATGGCATTTGGGTGACCCGGGAGAATGGGGTCAAGGAAATGGCCTTGAGGATGCTACACACATGCGTGTCCTTTGGTGCAAGCGATCGGAAAAATCCCGTGCCGCTCACCACTGGGCGGCCAAAAGCTTGCAGCTGGGAAAGCGGAAAAATAGCAACGGAGATGAAACAAACCGGGCGCCCAACACCTTCAGGGTCGTCCCTCTGGAAGAAAATATCGAGGGGTCGGGGGGCCTACAGCTCCACCAAGCAGGAAAACAGGAAGTGCTAAATGCCGGCACCCCCATCCCCTGCCCCCCATCCCCCCCACCCCTGTGCCTGCGCTCCGCCCGGCGGCTTTTGGACCTCAACAGTCAGGGGATGGATGTCCAGTCACAACCCGATGGTTTGACGCGGGGCTTCCCCAAAACTGGTGGTCTTCCGGGGAGTTGTCCCTTTGAAAAAAAAAGAAGGGGTTCCTGAGAAAAGAACAGATAGAACCCGGAGGTCCCTTTCTCCGAAAGCTCCGAAACCGATCTGGACAAAGACCCAGAAAAGATCTGCCTTTCACACAAAAATAGCCTTCCAAAAAAAACTGATGCTCGCAAATGAGTGCGTAGGAACCATGTCAATCTGCAACAGGTTGCTGATTGCTTTGCCGGATCGCTGGCTTTCGGGAACCGAAACGGGTTTAAAAAAAACCTGCCCAAGGCAGGCCAAGGCACGCACAGTCTCTTTCAAACTGCGACTTCAATGACACAACATACATTAATCATAACTTTGTTCAGGCTCAACATACCAAAACCAAATCATTCAAGTCAACCGCCACAACTTTACAACAACTCATCATACAAAATAACGCACCTGAGCCACTAAGCCAAGGAAAGGCCCAGATGTTTCAATTGCCCAAGCTATTCCACCATATCAAATCAGCTCACAGCACATGAGCCATTGCAACAAGAGGCTGGGTTCGAAAAGCCGGTGTGCTCAATATATACTACATACAATTGGCTTGCACGCGCAAGCTTCATGCTTGCATCTAGCAGCTCTGCGGCAATGTATCTCGTCGCGTCCAAGGAGAATCCTCCAAAATTGGCTTGCTGCTGGTGGCATCGAAAAAGCTGGACTCCTCTGTCCAAGTGGCCAGGGGCCAGGGAAAACAATTGATGTCGTTGAGCTCTGCCTAGGTCCTCCAGTAGAGAGGTCAGAGTAAGGGTACCAACTTTTTTGCTGTAGCCTATTTTAGTAGGAGGACCCTCCACCCAAAAAAAGAAACGGCAAAAGGGCACCTGGGTGCGGGACCTAGTTGCGTGTCGTGCGGGTTTTGGGCCAAAGCTGGAAGAACCAAACAGCCGAAAGGCCGACCCATCGGTGCCTGCGGGTCGCTGATGAGGATGATCTTGTTCCTCAGCCCCGATGCCCTTTGGGCTCTGCAGGTGATCGGGTGATCTCCCCGATCAGGGGGACACATCATGAAACAGGGCCTAAAGTTCCCGTTTAAACATCAAATATGATACTGGAAACCACCTTTTTAAGATGTTTGTTTTAGGGAACCCTGAAAAAAGGGGGACCCCCCAAAAACAAATCAGCCACGAAAAGTGCTCTCAGAAAACCGAGCTTCGATTCAACCCCCAGGAAAAGTCTGAGCCCCTCCATACCACGTTTCATCATTGTGCTTGGCACCGACAAAAGACATGTATGGCAAAGGCCGCCCTGCATCGAACACTGCCCCCCCCCCCCCCCCACCCCTCTACACGTGGCCTAGGGCTAGGGGGTGGGGATCTGGAGGCTGCAAGGAAAGCTGAGAAAGCACCACTGTGCTGTAGACAGTCCAAAGCTCCCCCCCTCAAGTTGCCCCTGTGGCTGCGCATTTGCGAAAAGCCTTGCGAAAAGCCTTTGGGCTTTAAGCCGAGCACGGCTCACGGCTTTTCAAAACCCATTCCACAAGCCATTGTGCTGCAAAACCTCCCGGCCTGTGCGCAATCAAAGACGAGACTCTCTATGCCGCACTCTGTCCTATGCATTTCTATAAGGAGCGGGCCTGCTCAAGCCTACCATCACCCCTTCTACGTCACCAAAGGAACGGTCCACCCCCTGGCTCCAGTTAGCTTTAAGATGCTTTAAGCCTGATACCAAGCCAGCGCCGCAGCACACGGGTTTGTCTCCAAATGCAAACCCGAAAAGATGCGTTCTTTGGTTGTCCTTCAGGACAACCCCTTCGATGGGCCATGTTTAGTGAACCTTGTGCAAACAAATCCCTGCCCACTTGCCCAAAGGACCCAAAGATGCTTCTTGCGTTTTTTTTCTTCCTTGCATGTACTACGCGCAACCGCCTGCAGAGCACTTGCAGAGGTTCAAAGGCTTCAGAGGCTCACCTTTTTGGAAACTTGACTGCATCTAAACATGGGAAACCAGGTCAGGGAAACCACAAGGTTAGAGGAAAGTGGAAAGAAAAATCATCTATATATGGAAACCAAATTTGGTTCTCTTGGCGGTGGATTCGCTTTGGGCACATGAGCCCAATGCAATCGCCCGCGCAGATCGATCGCTTTAGATCCCTTTGGCCGCGCGGCATGGTGCGCGCGAAGTCCAGGTTCGCCTCCCGAACCAGCTCGTTGCAGAAACTCTCAGGCCTCGGAGTGACGGACGAGGCAACTCGCGGCCGAGAAACGCTCCATGGACCAGGCTCCAGGGACCTCCAAGGGGAGGCGAGGCTGGGAGGGGGTCTATCTCTGATGGAACCGTTTGTCCCCCCCCTCCCCCATAGCCCTTCTTTGGGTTCCATGATCATGGGTGACCCTTTGGAAACACAAATGCCCCTGGCAAATGGAATAGAACCAGTCTAAACCGGGCTACGACCTCGAAATCGCGGGCGCGGCGTCGGCGGCCCGTCCTGCAAAACGCCTGAAGTGCCTCTAGTTTCGCGTTTGCTTCAATCCTGTTCCCCCGAGCCGCTGGCAATTTTACGTCTCTTAAAGCGCATCCTTTTCAAACCTGCTCTTCCATGTCGCTAGCTCTTTGAATCCGTGTCTTGAGCAATGTCAAACTGTCTCTTAAAGCTCCCGTCTTCTTGTTTGCCCAGTTGCTGACTCTTTCTTGGTTTTTGGCTCCCCCCCCCTCCGTTTTTTCCTTGTGTTGGTTCGTCTTTTGCTTTGGGCCCTCTTTTCAGTCAGCTCCCATACTTTACCGCCGCTGGAGCTGGGCACTTGTTAGTATTTCTCTTGGTGTCGTACACAGACACCGTGGCCGCGAGGAACCCAACAAAAAAGCCAACAGCATAACCTTCTGCGACAATTGCATCCGGGATGTGGTCGACGACCCCACCACGGCAACACAGAACATGAACAGTGAAAAGGCGCGACCCATGTCAACTCCCCGTCTGACCCTGCACCTTGTGCACAACACTATGGTCGTGGAAAAGGCAGGCCGCGGCGCCGCGGCGCCACGTGTCCGAAGCACTTCCAACGCCCAGGATTGGACAGGGTCAACCAGGAGACCAGCTGGCTTCGTCACCAAGAGTCTGCGATGGGGTGCTGCTTGAGCATGATATCCACGGAGCAATGCGAAGGACACGTACTCGTGAAACTTCCGGATGTTCGCAAAGTGGCCAACAAAACGCTCTTTTCCGCCAAACAATTCTTGGGCACGCCGCAACTTCACGAACGTCAAGCGATTGATCCATCCCACAATCACCTCCAGGGAAGGCTGTGGGGAAGGTCTTCAAAGAATCCTTGAGGCCCAATTCACCAGGCTCAGCCCCACGCATTTCCTTCAGGACCGCCGAGTTCCTGGAGAGGTCCAGCACCTGGGAGCTCGGAACTTGGGTAATAGCCTGCCCGGAGGGCACATCGGCTGCTTCAATAGTACACCACCATTTTGGGAGGGGCCCCCGAAAAAAAGGCACACCCAAGTCTTCATTTCCCTTGAAACGGTGAAGCCCAACAGCCCGAAGCCATGGCCAAGCTCCCAGTTGCCCGGCCGAGGCAGGCGCTCGAGCGACCTGGCCCGGTTGGGATACCCTAGCTTACCTTAAGTCAGAGAACTGACCCCGGATCTAAGTTTTACTGGCCCAAATGACCTGAAAACATAAACACAAGAGGTGCACTTTTGGGGCCATGACTAAGAATAGACCAAAATGGGAATCCAAAAGGTCAACAGATCGTCTTCAAGACCATGGCATCGCAAGTGGCTTCCATTGAGACTTCCAGGTCTCAAGGCCTACAGGGGCGTGAAACCCTTCAAAAACCTAAGAAGCAAGTTCCCTCAAACACCCAAAAGGAGGCCTGGTCGTCATCGAGAGTCTGGATGTCATCCACGGGCATGTTGTCAATCTGAGCGCTCTGTGGCAAAAAAAGAGCAGAGAGTTTAACTTGTTGCGGGTCAGTACGCGCAGAAAATTGTCAAGGACTAATTGAAGATCCAACTAAATAGCTAAATGCGGGGGTGTCATTTTGTGGCCCCCCCAACCCCCAAAAAAAAAACAAAGCAAGGAAGAAAAAGAAATAACACTATGTAGTTGTCCTTTTGGTTGACCATCAAAAAGGGCGCCGTCAAAGACACACCCAAATAGCAACCAAGGTATCGGTAAGTCCGGTCGAAGGTTTTTAGTATGCTTCCCTGAAGTCATGATCCCTATCAAGGCAAACTCACTTTTGGGCCAAATGGGTGTGGGTCAAGAATAGGAAACCCAAAATGAACCCTGGTAAATGGACACATGGACTAAAACCTGCAGTCCCCTAGTGGTTTAATTTTGACCCCCGAATGATGATGTTTCAAACCACCCTATCGGGAATCCAGAAAGGTCGTAACCTCGAACGCGACCAATGCATCTTGCCCTGAAAAGAAAACCCAAGGCAATCAACCAACCAACCAACCAACCAACCAACCAGCCAGCCAGCCAGCCAGCCAGCCGGCCAGCCAGCCAGCCAGCCAGCCAGACCAACCAGGGCCCCGGCGAAGAAGTTCAACCTAATCCGCGCTTGCGCCTCAGGCTCGCGCCAGGGCATTGAAATCCCTTTTAGCCGGGAGGGACGTGAGGGACACCTCTTCAGCTTCTCAGGTGGCTTAGATTGGGGGTGTTCCTTTAAATCTAGGGTTTGATTCCTTTTCCATTCTTTTCAGCCATCGTTCTTTTCAAAAAGCTGCCATTCCCCGGGGTTTTTGGTGGTTTTCTAGAACGAAGGGTCCCTGGAAAGAATGGGGAAGTTACCCCTTGATTAAACCAACCCCAAAAGGTGTCAACTCCAACCCTCCAATTGGTGGCTTGGATTGGTGCTTTGGAGGTGTTCCGGGGTGGTTTCCGATGTTGCCCTCTAAAGCCAACAGCTTCCTCCAAACAGGGCCCCCGCCTCTTTCACAAAACGCACAATAGGACAATATGGTGCCATCGTCCCCAGAAGAAAAAAAAGGCCCACGCCGCCAAAAACGCCGTGTCACGGGCGTTGACTCGAAACCCAACATGTCGATGCCCGCCGGTCCCGAAGACTCTTGGCTGAATTGAATGGGCCTGAGAAAGTCAAAGAGGTCCACATCCCAGCTTTACGAAAGAGGCGAAATCTATGCACCCAAATATGAACCACTGGTATGAACCCCTAGTTTGTTGGATAATTAACCAGGAACTATATAAGACCAACCATCATACAAGCCTAAAGGGCCACGGCTTCACATGGGCTCATACAATCAACCGATTGATTTTGGTTTCCTGTTGGGAAAAACACAAGTTACTGGGAATCACTCCGCTTTTCTACATGGCACTTACTACAGCGAGACAATCGCAGTCAATCGCCCCCGAAGATAGTTTTCCGGGGTCCCTTGAAAGAGATATGATACATCCAGCTGGAAATATTTGCGCTTGCCCAAATGTATCCTTTGAAGGGCCCTGTTTGCAGCGGACCCAACAGGGAAAGAGTGTGGGGCATAAGTGCCGCAGCACCCGCAACAAGTGTTACGCCTGAGCTCGCGGTTCTAGCAGGTGGTCATGATTATTTAAGATCATTATGTTTGGACCGACCAAAATCCCTGAGGCTGACGACCATCCCCATCTATGTTTCAAAACAAGGGGACCCCATGGATTGATTGTTTTCCTTCTGGCTTCCCTTTAAACCAATATGAAAAGAGAACCAACTTCAAGAAAGCACATCCCCATATTGGCTTTAGAATAATTAAGGGCACCCTTTTTTCTGCAGTCTATTTAGTAGGGGAACCCTCCCCCAAAAAAAAAGGGTGAAAGGGCACTACTGGGGGGGCCTAGTTGGGGTCCCCACCCCCCACACCTCACCCCGGCTCAAGCCCGCAAACCGCGCCGCAAACCGCGTCGGCTCGCGCCTTCTGGAGGGCCTCAAAGGCGTAGAGGATCCGATCGGCAAACACCTGACACCAGGGCTTTTCCGGGAGAAAACCGGGGTGTCCACGGCGTTTGTTTTTCTTTTTTTGTTTGTTATATATATATATGGTGTAGCATATATATGTGTATATATTTGTTTTCTTGCGGGTGCGGGTGCGGGAGAGGTAGGGAATGACCGATTTCTAAATTTCCTGCTGCAAGCCAGCAAGCTGCTCAGCCCAGTTTGGACCAAGGTGTGCTCAAAGGCCGGGCCTCAATCCAGAGTTGCTGACTCCCGAAACCTGAGCCTAAAGTCCATCCAGCCTGGGGTCCATCCCGCCTCGCCCTTCGAAGTTTCGGCACTTGCAACAACTTTTTTCTCCGGCGTCCGAGGGGCTCATTAAGGGACCAAAGACCACAGGCCAATTCGATCCGCGGAAGGCGGCCAATGGCCCAAACCCCGGAATTCCACGGAAGGCACTCTCAGTTGCCCAAAGGACCCAGAACCAAAAGGTGATCACCTTTTGGCACCTCTACTAAAAATGGGCAAAAATGGGAAAACCAAAAGGTCACAAGGTCGATTCGCTTTGGACAACTGAGCGCTTGAACGGACGCGACCCGGTGACCCCCGCCTCAGGATCCTCACCCTGCAACACGATGCGCAGGCGCCCCACGGGCTCCAGCTCCTAGCCCGGGCGACACGTAGCTCTCTTGTTCTTGGGGGGTTTTCGTCCGTTGCAGTGTGGCTCTTCGTAGCTGCGACTTGTTTCCAACTCATTTCTGAGACAAGTCGCTCCTTCGGCCTAGTTCTGGCAGGTTGCAACTGGCGAATTGTGCTTGGCGCTTGTTGCCATTTTGGTTGCTTTGAAGTTCCGGTTGCGCGCGATTTTTCCAGCTCTGTCTGGTAGCTGATGATGCTTTCTCGTTGTCACTTGCCTGCTTGCCATGCCTGCCGGCCTTCTTGCCTGCTTCCTGACACTGAGCATGCCCGGTTTGCGACCCTACCTTGGTTGCTGTTGACCCCTCTGCAAAAAGTCTTCAACTTTCTGTGGCTTCAGTGGGAAACCCAACTTGATTTCCCAAAAAGATTAAAGTCTAAAGATCCAACCCAAGAGCAATCAAGCTACGCGCTGAATTTTGGCGCATTGACGAACCTGTGGCCCATTCGAAACCAGAAGCCGAGCTCATCTCAGGCCCGCAGCCATCTTCCAAATCTTGCCTGCTGAGTTTGCAGCGCTTCAGAGCGAAATCCCTCGCCTTGTTTTTACTCAGGGCCCTTGCGATTCTGCGAATCTTGCCAAACCCTACCCCCAGGCCTCCTGGCCTACCCGCCTGCCTGAAGCCACGCAGCCACTTCCATCAGCCACTGGAAATACACAAGCCCTGAGATGGCCTCCTCTGCCCCCGCCGATCCCCTTCCCTGGTGCCAAATAGAAGCTGCCCAAATGTTGATGTTGGGCACGGAAAGCGAGGTGCATGCGCTTGATGGAGCTACAACATGGAAATCTCCAGGATCACTCCGGCTCTCCAATTCCGCTTTTCAAGGGGACGCTTTCTGGCATTCAAACACACGTCGCCTCCAGAAACACTTGGCGCTTCATTTCTTTCCCCGAGAGGACTTAGCAATTTCGCCGAGGGGAAACAAACAACCAGACCACCGGACCGTGGTGTGTCTCACATAGGGAATCCCCCGTGGGTTTAACAAAAAAAGACCAAAATTTGTTGGAAGAACCCAACGAACGGCTCAACATTGAACCTAAAGGTTTGCAACCAAAAGAACAGCGAACACAGGGATCCTTACATTATACACCTGAACATTGCCTTGTAAATAGGGGGGTCCCTTCATTTTGGTGGAAAAAGCCATGTTTCAATCGGTTGCAACATGTATCTTTTAAGGAGCCCTGGAAAAGAACCGACATTTGTTGGTAAACGTCGTACCCAAATTCACCAAACGCACGGCTCACCGCCGGCGAGCGACTCCGTCAGGCGATTCCGGTCCGGAAAGTCAGGGAAGCGCACCAGAAAGTCTTTGGTGCCTTTGCCGTCCTCATGTCGGACGTGTTTCTTTTTGTTTTTCCCGAGGGGCCTAACCATAATCACTTGGCTCTGTGTTTTTGCGGGGGAACCCCAAGATGGAATTCGGTCTTCCTTGTGGTTTCCCCCGTACTTAATTGTTTTATCCCCCCCAAAAAATAATAATAATAAAAACACCCACTTGGGGGTCCTCGAAATGGGGGGTTCTCAAAGTATGCCAAGGCTTGGTTTCCTTTTGCCTTCCCTCCAAACCAACCTACTCACTTGTCCAGCTTGGACCTGGTAGTAAAAAGGCGATCACCTTTTGGGGCCTTGACGAATTCAACAACTTGGAAAACCAAAGGTCAAAAGCTCGACTCGCTTTGGAGACCTGAGCACATTTGAAACCAAGCTGCTGCCAGTCACGTGTTTCACAAAGGAGTCCCCTAAAGTGGCGGGTTTCCTGGCACGATGGACTTATTGAAGATCTAACCCAAAAGTAGTTGTGTGACCACAAGAACCTCTACAAAAAGAACCCAAGCCGACGATTTGGTTTAGCAAAGGGCATACCCCAGCCACTAGTTGGTACTCATCTTTCTCTGTTCCTTTCATGTGAAGCCCTGCCCCCGTTTCGGAAGGAAACTGAGGCAGTCCTTGAGGCCCTCCACGGTGCAGTCCTGGTGAAGGAGCCCGTTGCGGGTGGCTCGGAGTTGGTACCCATTTTGGGTCCTGAACATTGCCTTGGAAATGGTGGCTTCCTCGTATTTTGGTGGAAAAAGCCATGTTTCAAATGGTTGCAAAATGTATCTTTTAAGGAGCCCTGTTTTGAAGGGAAGCCAAAAGGAACACCCGCATTTTGGGTTTGGGGGTCTGAGCAAGGCCACGGCCAACCAGCTCGGCAAGCGCAAAAGTGAATTGACCAGCGTCCCTCGAATGGGTTTGGATCGGAGGCGAGGGGTGGCTCCCCATTTACCCTCTATATACAAGAGCCAGGGATTCAAATCCGCCAATCCGCAAACGAAGGCTGCCTGAAACAAAGGGCTACCTGAGAGGGGTCGGGTCTGACCAGAGAAAAAACGGGCTCCCCGCAAGACAGACATGTATTCTTGCTTTTGAAACGGAAATGGGTGTTTTACTTTGAGGGTACCCTTTTTTGGGGTGAGTTGAAAGGGAGACAAAAAAAACTTCACAAATTTGGAGGGAGACACCCCAACATGCTCCGCAAAGGCTGAGAAGGCTCTTCACAGGGTGAAACTCGAGCTCAACGTAGATTCTCGCATTTGCCCTGTGCTATGTGTTTTGGTGGAACCCCCCGGTTGCTTTCCCTTTTAAACCACCTCCTCCCGTCATGACTCAGGGGAAGGTCCAGGCTTGCGCTTCTCGTCAAGGCCATGGCGTCGACAACCCCAACAACAGCTCACCTTTCCAACAAAGAGTGTTTCGCAAACCCATGTATCCCCATGTGCTTGAGATTGCTTTAAACAAAACAGAGTTGGACATCGCGCCCTTGCAGCCCCAAGCCAACGTCCGGAAGCGGAGATTTGCTGTCCTCCCATACCGAGCCCTTTGTCTCATGGAAGCGCATCGCCTTCGCCTGCACAAGCGCTGCGGGGGTCGGTCCGCCTCAAAAACGCCGCACCCCGCGCGTTCCATGAGCCAGCTTTCCGCTAAACTTGCAGACCCTCTGGGCCGACGACGACCTATGTAACTTCCCCTCCCGAGTCAACCCATGTGACACTGTGGATGGAAGATCCGCTTCGCACCATCTGGCAGCCAGAATCCGGCATGAATGAACCCCGGATGTAAACAAAGAAAGACTGAGACTAACCACCTGCCAACTGCGCGGCGATGTTAAGTCGCCCCCACATGGCCCTCCCCTGCCTGCAGTGGCAGGAAGCTACCATCAGGTTGCTTCCCCAGCCTCAGGCAGCAGAAATGCCCAACCAAACAAACTCATACACATTCTGCTTTGGGGGGGGGTCCGGAAATTATGTAAAAAAAGCCATCCAACCTCGAAATATTTCTGCACTGGTGGAAAAACCACCTATGGGCCGGAAGGGTGATAGGCTGGGAGAGCCCCAGGAGAGCTGGTGAACTTGCCGTGAGCGCCCCGGCCTTCCAGCCCTGGCCTTCTCCACTGCCACGAGGGCAGATGGAAAAATCCTCCAGCCAAGCCCTGGTTTAGGGTTTAAGGGTTTAGGGAAAGTTTAGGGTCTAAGGGCGTTTAGGGTTTAGGGTTTAGGGTTTGGGGATTTGTTGAGAACTTGGAAAGCAGATTCCCACACCTTTGGGCCTCTTTTGTTTCAAAGGGGCGGAGTTGCCGGATGCGTATGATACCCTCGGCCGCTGAAGCCCATACACTTGGAGGAACCCCACTGACATTCCCCCAAAGTTCGGCAAAAAACTCACTTGGCGCCTTTTTTAAAGGGGACCCACTATGTCAATCAAGATGTTCTCTACCCACTATGTCAGTTGTCCTTTGGTTTCCCTTAAAACCATAAAGGGGAACCCTTGGAAAGAGGCGCCCCCAAACTGGCCCCATTGTTTCACCACGCCCGTCTCTGGTGGCTCTAAAGGGAAACAGCCACCCATTTTCTGACTTTGCCAGCCCCCAGAAACAAACTAAAAAAAAATGATTCAAGGACCCCCCCCTTTCCAGCGCTTTTTCAAGCGCTGAAAACGGGGTCCGGCGCCAAGCAAGCGACAGGGGCTTCCCGGCTGGAGCCACTGCTCCGGGGTCCGGATATCGAACTCCGTGTTGTTGAAGTCGTCCAGTTGGAGCCAGAATCTGAGCCACGCAACTCGATAGGCTCAATAAGTGGCGTCCACTACCCCGGGCCCCAAACGCTTCCCTCAGGGGTATGAAAAAAATAAAAGATATTGCCATACTCTCCACCTTGCCACGGGGTTCCTCTAAAAGGGGAACCTAAGTTCCATGTTGGAGGGAGAGGATGTTTCCACCCCCCCCCCCCAAATCCCCACAAAGCCATGAGAGGACAGGCAGCCGCTCCAAAAGCTCGGGGCTTCCTCTGGGCCCAAAGCCTTCCCGCGCCTTTGAGCCTTGGATCCAACCAGTTACAAGGGGCACCCCTTTCCACTCACATGCAGAAATCCCACTTTCGAGCGACAAGAACTCGTGGTGGGGCTGGTTGTTTAAACCCTCCCCCACACACACACACCCCGGGATAGAAATGCCTGAGCATTGGAAACAGCAGCCCCCTTTCCGTGCCTTAGGGCCAAAGCATGTAGCTTCTTTCAGGCCCTGTCTGAATCCTTCTTTCAGACTGGCCGTGGATTTGACTTTTTGGGGATTCCTCTCAAGAAGTGTCTGGACGTCACAGTCATTCCGAGTAATGAGAAGTGGAGCAGTGGATGGCGGTTCCCAACCCAATGGCCAAAACAACGCATGGACGGCAGAGGAGTTTCTGTCGACACTGGCGTTGAAACGCGGAAACTGTGAGCCAGTCATGTGGCCTTCGCTCGGGCTGGAACTCGACATGAGCGTCCATGCGTGGTTGTCCGTCCTTATGCTGCGTAAATGCTCCCACCTACGCGCGATGCAAGCTATCATCACAACCTCAGCTTCATTCAGAAAGCGCTATGAAGCCGCAAAGCCAATCTGCCATTCCCCCCTTGCCAACTTGAAGAAGGGTGCATTCCAGGTTGGCTTAGCACTTTCTTTGCCTGGGAAGGCCTAGACTCACCACACATTGCTCAAGCTGCTTCGTTTGGCCGGGTTTTCTGCATGAATTGCCGCAGGATTCTTCTGGGCCGCAAGCGGACCTGGTTTGCCCCGGCAAACCAGGGTCTCCAACTGCCCAAGGGTGCTCAGCGCCCAAAACAATCTTCCCGCAACCACTTCCCGCATTTGGCCGCCGGGCTCCCTGTCCCAATTGGGCGAGAAGTTGCAGTTCCGCTCCTCTAGCAGAGCGACCACCTAGGCCAGACGTGAGCCGCTCACGCTCGCATGCTCCATGGGTTCATGGCCGCGCGTTTGAGACTGGAGGGACTAGACCTTTGGTTTGCCTCCGTTTTCTTGTCCCTTGCTGAAAATGCCTGCCGCTGGTTGTGGGTTTCAACTTCCTCTCTTGTGGGTTTTGTCTCCACAAGTGAGGGATGTTGTTTTTGTTCTTGTTTTTTTTCTGATGCACTCAAGCTCTCTCCCGTTGATGCTTCTTGTCTTTTGTTGCTATTTGTGAAAATGAGCGATGGTCAATACTTCCTGAATTTGGTGAGCAACCTTCATTTCACCCCCTTTACTACTAAGGACGGCAAATGTGGACCGTTGCCTTTCTGGTTGCTATTTGGGCATGTTTCTAATTAGAAGGAACCTCCAGCCTTTTGGTTCCCCTTTAAACAAACCTTAAATGCACTTGCACAGTTCAGACCTGGAAATGAAAGGCGATCACCTTTTTGGACCTCTAAACAGACCAAAACGACAAAACAAAACTAACTTCCTGAGTGGATTGGCAAACATACGGCGCAAGCGGCGTTTTTTTGCCACACAAATCGTCCCGAAAAGAAACTAAAGTCCAGGAACTCGGGGAGTGAGACGATTTGCTTTGGACAGCTCAGCGTCCCACATCCAGCGCTTCGAACCACTTGCGGCGCCGCTCCACCGTCACCTCAGCGGGATCCCAAGGTCGGGGCCTGCTGAAATGGGGGCTAAATAGAGGGCCTAGAAAAATTGATAAATCAGGTTACCCTCCTCTTTTGGTTTCCCTCTATTGATCTAAACTCAACAATACGGGCTACAAAGCACTCAGTGAAAGGGAAGAGAAACCAGTCCAGCCATCCAATCCATCCCTAGGTTTGGCCTCTTGCATAAAGGAAGGGGGCAAAGCAACCTTGCTTCAGCTGCCCAAATTGCTTAAACAACATCTAAAAGGCTCAACCCCCCAACCCAATCCAACCCAATCCAAACCACATATTGAGGGTCCGTGCTTCAGCTCCCTCAGCATCTAACGTTTCTCCGAACAATACCACCAGCGCGCAATGCACAAGCACGAGTCTTGCTCCAGAGCCATTCTTCACCATCTAAGTTTGGCAAACCATCCAACCCAAGACACGCTCCAACTGTGGTGCCGCCCACCCCACCCCACCACCCAAAACCTTCTTCCAAACTCTCAGTGGGTGTTTTCTTTTGTTTGGTTGAGGGGGAACCCCAACACTGTTGCTTCGGTTCTTGTCCTAACTTCCCTTTGACTAGGTCCCCAGTAGAGAGGTTAGAATAAGGGTACCAACTTGCTTCTGTAGTCTATTTTAGTAGGGGAACCCTCCCAACCAAAAAAGTGGGGTGAGAAAGGGCACCAATTGCTGGGGGATCTAGTTAAAGCCACCTGAAAAGGGGAAGGCGCCACCGCCCAAACACACGAACCAGCCGTGGCGACCGCGGCCCGGGCCTTGCGGGGACGGCCTCCGGCCTTGTGGGCGTAGACCTCGATCACCTGATCGAGGCTTTTTCAGCGGAGTCCAGCGGGTTCTTTTCGTGGCGCTTTCCTGGGTTTCCCCTTTTTTTCTGGGATGTTTGATTTTTTGGGGTTTCCCTGTTTTTGTTTTTTTGTTCCTGAGTTTTCTTGCTTTTTAGGGGTTTCCCTACCTTTTGTTTCCCCCTGTTTTGGGTGGCTTTTTGGCGTTTCTCTGGGATTGGTTTGGGGTGTCCCTAGGTTTCAGGTTTACCTTGGGTTTTGTTTGGGGTTTGCCGGAACCCCTGGTTGATTATATGATAGGGGTGTCCCCCAACAGTGGGGTTCAGACCACTGTTTGAGAAAAGCACCCCTTATTAATAGGACGGGTGTATTCATCCTAGGCCAACAATAGCTCCTCAGCTCCCTCAGTACTTTGGATGCCCCAGCTCCCTAACGGCTCCCTTTCAACCATAGGCTTGCAGCCAGAAGCTCACACAAGCACCCACCGAGTTCACCGAATTGATCTTCTCAAACCAACCAAAGCAAACGTTGCGAGGAAGGATGAGCACCTGAGTTGTCTTTGATCTACTTGACGGGGCCATTTCCCTGGCAGGTGTCCTGGCGAAGCCCCGCCTTGGGCTCCACATCCTGGATGGTCTTCCGCGGGGTCTTGGGCTCCGCCTGCGGAATTCCGTGTGATCCGCCTGAGCCCCAAGAAACCAACGAAAAGGGACCCAACCCAGCCCTAATCAGAGATCGCCAGGTCCAAAAAGGAACCCAAAGGTGGGGTGAGGTCGCACACCCCAAGGTGTTGCTATGCGATCGTTTCAAGGTCCTGGCGAGTTTCGCCTGGTGACGGCACCCCGGGACGATTTCTAGGCTTAGTGCTGTTCGCCAAGCCTGTCGTGGACGGCAAAAAAAGCGGCGTCCTTTGTGTCTCCTCCTATCCCAAAAAGTGTGTTCCAAAACGCCATGAGTTACAACCTTGGCATCCATCTTAGAACATCCATGAAGAAGTGTCATGTTTTGCTCGGCATAAGGACACGAGGTAAGGATCGGTGCACACCTTGGCACAACAGACTTGCCCACCTATGATCTTGAACCCTCCCCAAAAAGATCCAAAAAGAGAATACGGAACGGGTCACCAGGACAACTCCCGATTTGTTTGCCATTCTATGCCATTCTTGTTCAGGGTCACTGAGAAACTTTCGGATTTGTTCACCAACTGGAAGCGGCTAAACCGTCATCCCGACCATTTATTTTTCAGTACCGCATTTTCTGAGAGGGCCACCAAGCCAGAAATTCGCTTGGGTCCCTTCATGCCAGAGTGCCAACGGCCACTCCAAAACATGTCAAAACCCAAAACCCCCCAGGTCCTCCAGTAAAAATGCTAAAATTTAGGAATGGACTAAGGGTACCCTGTTTTTCTGTAGTCTATTCTAGTAGGGGAACCCTCCCCCAAAAAAGAAACGGTAAAATGGCACTACTGGGGGGCCTAGCCCCTATCCCCGACAAAAACTGAAAGGCTCCCAGCCCTCCCCGGGCGCAACCTCCCCAGCTCCCCCTTCAACTCACGCTGAATAAGCGTCTCTATAGATTCAAGGGTTACCGGTTTGGGGCCCAAAAGGAAACAACAAACCGTCCAAGTGCGCTGCTCGCACATTTTACGCTTGAACAGCCACACTGCGGATGCAATGGATGTAAAACCCCATACTGACCGATCAAATTCTTCACCCCCCTCTGCGTGTTCAAGGGGCCTTTCACAAAGCAGCCAAAACAGTAACACAACAGAGGGAGAAGGTCAGGGGAACCATTGACACATGCAAACCATGACAGTTGCGCTTTTAGCGCCACTGCCACGTAGAGTAGTTTCCGCTACTGTTGTCCCATCCGCTCCATCCGGACCAGCTCTGCCAGCTGCCTTGGCTCCAATGCTCACCCTCGCGGGCGGCGGAAGCACGTGTATCGGCATAGCGAGCGGCGTTGCGAGCGAGGTGCTTGCTGCTCTCGTTCCTCGAAAATTCAATCGAGTTACGAGCATAACGCTCGTTCTGGCTGAAAACCCAGTCCATCTCGTGGCGGAGGTCCTCCAACGTGTTGCTTCGCACATGGATGATGCCATTCCAACAACCAATGCTGCGAGGCTTGTCTTGCTCGAAGACCACGTTGATAAAAGCCCTTGGGCTGTAAGGCATCCCTTGGAACATAATGATCCAGCGAGAGGAAAGCGCATCTTGAAGTTCGCTGGGCAGGAACTCCAACTCCGTCTTGACATACGCGAGCCTTGCGATTCGCGACTCCGAAGTTGATCCAAGGCCAACTCCCAGAGTGCGCTGGGCTTGCGACTGCTTTGGAGCAGCCAAGACGAGATTTGCACACAACTCCATGCGGAGCATGTCCGCCTCCCGACGGCCCACCTCAAGCATACGAACCCTGTATTGGAGGTCGAGTTCATAGCGATCGAGCAGAGAGTGGTAGCCGTTCTTCAGAGCGGACTTGTGCTTCTTCCGGGCTTCCTGAATAACAGCACTGTCCGGGGAGTTCAAGCCACGAATGATGCTGCTACGATCCTCCTCGCGGAGGTCAAAAGTTCCAACGGATGCCAAAACCTGGGCTGTGACATGGGTGCTGAGGCCCATCTTCTTCAGCAAATTGGAACGCTGCACAATGTAATTCCTCTGCTGTTCTTTCAGCAGCCGAGGATTGAGGGGAGACAACTGCCCACATGACGAGCAATGGACCTGCCCCTCGAACACACTGTTGTTGCAGACCGGGCACGCGGCGACATTCATCTCAACGTTCTCCATTGGGTTGAAAGTCTTCTGTCTCTTCGCTTCCCCTTGCGGGGCGCGAGGAGACGCCACATTGGTGCGGGTTGTAGCAATACGTTCCAGCGCTGTAGATCGATCATCAACCACGGCTTGCTCGCGCTTCATCCCCTGCGATTCATCCTCATTCGCCTCAGCTGGTGCACCTGCATCCGATTGCTCGGAGCGAGTGTACCATACATCGCCATTTGTAGCGTCCAATACCGAAATAATCGTGTAATTGGGCACCTTGTCGCGCGTAAGGACGCCGTCGCTCTCAGTCTTGAAAAAGCAAAGCCCTGCGCGAATGGCCATCCTGAGGTCGATCTGTATCTCCAAGGGCTTGTTAGCACGTACACCTGAGATGTAATTTTCATTCGTGCTCGGAATGTCAGCGAAGAAAACGTGAGGTCTGCCTGTCTCGTGCTGGTCCCCTCCTCCTGGAAGCAGTCCGTTTCGCATAATGCTGGCGAAGTTCCGCTTATCGGTGCGATGATAGAGCACCGTAGGAGGGTTGCTGCAGACGTTCCAGCCGGACCAGCGCCCGAGGTCAGTCCCCGGGTTCACGTACCACTCCTTCGCGATGCCGGAGTCGTCGATTTGGAGCCAGTCCTCATGTCCCTGAGAGGCCTTTATCTTGAAAAGCCAATGCGAACATGGGACGTCTCCGCACCGGCCTGCGTCCGGGCAACCAAGCGCAATGAACCTCTGCTTTTTGTCCAGCTTGAAGATGTCCATGATATTCTGAATATTCCATGGAATGGGATGTCGCAGCTCCTTGCGAAGCGCGAGTCCCAGGTCTTCGAGGTCCATGTAGCCGTCCTCATCCATCACGTACCCGCATCCTTCTGTTCCACGACCACGGAGGATCTTGGAGATGCACGTCAGGGAACTGTGGTACTCATTGCTGATTCTCCTGACAGAAGGGTCGTAATCAAAAGAGGGCTGCTTGATGATGTCGAGTCTCTTGGGGCCCTCACCGTAGTCGACATACTTCACGCCATCATGAATGCTATACACCCAGCAGTCGTAGTGGCCTCCAGTCACGTTCCTCCCGTAGGAGTCGAGTGGTACCGGTCTGCTTGCCGCCTCGTCCCTCTGTGCCACCGCAGCCGCCTTTGCACCGGCTTGCGCCGGGCGAACACTTTCGGAAACATCTGCACCGGAAGGCTCACCTGAAGTTGCAAACTCGGCTGGGTTGACGGGGGCGAAATCGAGGGGCTGCCGGACCTCCACTTCTTCACGGGTGAAAGGGAGCCCGATCATCTCTGACAAAGAAACACCGCACTTCGTTAGCGTTTCCTTGCAGTACGCGAGAACCTCAACGTTGACTGTGCAATCCTCTTGGTGGCGCACCTCGAGCACATCGATCGGACGCGTGGTGCAATCATGCGAACGTGTCAGCTCGGCTACGCTGCCCATTGCGGGGCGCAAGATGGAAAGCATATACAACATGTGATGGGTTCCGCGCATGAACTGGACGGTCTTCGTGATGTTGTCGTCACTGAAGCACATATGATACCTGTCCAGCAAATCGATGGTCTCGACAAAGGGTGTAGCATCTACGTACACAAACATTTGATTGGGGTCGCCGATGATGTAATCCCGGACTTCCGTCATGAAACGGTCCCAAATCATAGAAAAGCCGTAGAGATAGCTCTTCGCGCCGGTCATGACTCCAAGGCATGCGCAGCCCTTGCGGGCCGCGAAATCCCTGGTCCAAGCCAGGTGCCGTTTGGAGTCAGCAAGAAGTTGTTCTGCATCGCCGGTGGGGGTATCATAAGGATATGTACCCGTGGGCTCGAGGCCGTCCTTCCCAACGAGCTCGTTGCCATTCCAGTAAATCATCGGAATGATGGTGGCAGCTGGATGGTCGGTACGCACCTCGTCGATGAGGGCGGCCAACCGCTTGCACAGCTGCTGTAAGCCCTTGCCCCAAAGCATTTCTGACCTCCATGCACCGACACGCGCCGGGCGAGAGGCATCCAAACGCTCCGCAAAGTCGTACTTGCGAAGCTTGCGCTTCTTGCCCGAAACCATGGACAGTCCTGAATCAGCGACAGTCACATAGATAAGGAGGTCGCGATCTGGTACACGTGGGGCCTGCAAAACCTTCAAGTACGGTTCGCTTATAGTTAACAGGGGTGTAAGCAATTGCAGGTAGTGCGGTTGGTCCTGCACCCATGTATGAATAAGCGACTGTGCAGAGGTCGTCTCGAGGAGGCCCTTGACCGTGGCGGCGAGGTTAGCGTCGTATTTGCCGCTCGTGCATACCGATGTGGTAGCGACATTCTCCATCCACCTCCTCCATGCCGGATCGCAATCCCTCGCGGGATGCGCCATAGCCGTCGCGCTGCTCATTGCGAAAAGGATGCAGCACAATCACTCGAAAGCAACGGCTGCATGGTGGCATGTTCGGAAAATGCATTGTGAACGGCATCAGTGTAAACATACGTGTATCCCTCGGCTTCCTTCAAATGCGTGCCACGGCTTTCATCATGCTCGTGAGAACCATCACACTTGAAGTACTCAACCACGGAAATAGTGGGCATATTACTGGCAACTACCCATTGCTTTTTCATAGGTTTTCCATTTCTCCCTTTAATGCCGATTTTGCAACCATGGAATTCGTACTTGTTCATCTTGTACTTAGTCAAGAAACTCCATAGTTCGGGCCATTTCCAATAACGACACGCCTTGGGAAGTTCGAAGGCAACTCTAACGTCATCAGAATAGACATCATTGAGAATGCGTTTGAACCCTCTCAACAGTGATCGGAATTGCTTGATGTGGCCCTCGATCTTGGCGGCACCTTTGGGAGTTTGCTGGTTGACATAACCCCACGGGCATCCTCCAGTGCATGGCAACGAAACA